ATTTCGAAAATTATGAAAAATGTAACATGATGGAATGCTATATGTTATCAGATAAAAATGCGACGTTAGCCGCGGAATTATATTTCACAAGGTATCCGGAAAGAAGACAACCGCACAGAAGAACCTCCAGTCGGTTAGCAGAAAATGTAATAGATTTTTGATCCTTCACGAAACCACGTGCAAAAACATACCAAAATAACCGACCTGCAGGAGGATGAAGTCAATGTGTTGGCTTAAATCCGATAAATCCATCATCTTGTAGGGAAATTGAACAAGACGTCTGACGCTTGCCCATACAATATTTTAATTATATTATAATGATGATAATAGAGATGGAGTATTACTCCATTTTTGGTAAAAAGTGAGATTTTCGCAAATATTTCAGTTTTTGTCAATAGGACGAAAACAAAAGATGATAGCTGTTTGAAGTTTTCGGCATTAACAGTTTTTGCAGAATGGTTGCAGGTTGCAGGTTTAGCAGAATTTGGGACATCCTGTACTTGCAACGGATTTTTTATTCTTGTACTCTCGACAAATGGTATGGATACAATTGCTGTTCATGTAAGACATGACCTTTGGATATTCTCATATGTCTAAACTGTTGCTACCAACAGTTTTAGCAGGACTACGATCAGCCAAAAAAACTAAAATGTTTTCTTCTAGTTGGGGTGTACGAACTGACCTCTGATTCCCGTTATTTACATATTTCTATCTAATATTTCCTGTCTCATCTAAATGTCTTTCGATATTTTGAAATGTTTTTCTACCAGGTTGTCTTTACTACAATTTGTTTCCATAGGCATCTACGATTAATGAAAACATTGCAAAATCGATTTATCTTTTTGCAAATATCTCGAAAACGATGGTTCGATATTTTTAGTAGTAATCTTAAACGATTTCTTATGATAACATTGCACTGTTTGCCAAATTTAGTTTTTCTAAGAAAAACCATATTGAAAATATTTAAGAAAATGTATGAAAATTTCATAAGTCTGAAGGCCCATATCTTAGCCACTTATGGGCTTAGACGAAACATTTTTAAGGTATGACCACACATTGCGCAACAGCAACGCGCGGCGTTCGTCGGACACAATTCTGCCACCCGTCAACTTGGACGTATCAAAGAACGTGTGCCCGGTATATGTGAGACACGCCACGCACTTTAGTTTATGTCAAAACAGAGGTTACATATAAATGATACGCCATCTAGTAAAAAACGAGTCGAACCTATTCGACAGATAAATTTTTATACCGAACCTCAAACCGGTAAACCAACAAGATAAATATGATGGTAAAACACGATTTTTGCGCTATTTGTTAGCTGAAGATATCAACCACTTTAATTACAGGTGGTAAAAGTGGGCCTAAACTAACCTGATCCAGTTACATTGCTATTCTTTTTTCTACGCTGACCGGCAAAAAAAACCGGCCACTAAAATGTAGCCACAATTTCAAAGCTGGCTTACTTGCGAACCACTCATTCGATTTTGATGATTCTTTTTTTGATCGAAAGGTTGACTCTTTTGTAATAATCCTGCGATAGAAATTTTTATTCGGATATTAATTTGAGCATATACGGGGTGCAAGAATGAGAAAACCTTTTTTTCTCGAAATTTGTAATACCCTGTGGAGTGCAACTGCTACAGCAGAGGGTGTTAACTGGAATCAAATGGTCCAGTCCAATCTTTTCTGAGCATTTTGTTTTTTTTATTCACTCTATTATCTCTGTTACTAACGAAGATGTAGTATTTTAAAGCGATCGCCTGTGAAAACAAGACGAGTGACAATAGTAGCTAATGACAGTTTTATTGTTCTAAGCAATCGTAGAACGACAGCTGCAGAAGCTCGGTGTCGTCTTCAAATGGTGCATGTTGTTGATGTCAGTGAGCAATTGCGGCAAACTCTTCTTCAAAAGCAATTCGTAACTCTTGAAGGTTGTCCGGTAGGACAGGACGACGACGAATGCGTCTCTCAAGTTGGTCCCAAAGATCCGGGCTGCACGCTAGCCACTCTATCCGTTCAATACCCTACTTCATCAAGATTTTCGTTAACCACACGTGCTACGTGCGGTCGCGCATTGTCATGCATTAGCATGAATACATCACCAATAAAATGGGAATAGAACCTCCAAGGAAAAGTACTCTTTCCGAAATTGTGCAGGTCGCAAACCTTTCATTACGACGTCTCCACACTCATTTTCAACCATCAGGTGACCGGAGACAAAAACGGGAGGCGTCAGTGAAGAGCACCTTACCCCATTGTTCCATTCCCTAATTCATATGTACGCGCCCAAATTGCAGACGTGTTCGCCGATGTCTCTGGAGCAACCGAGGTCTTTTGGCAGGTCTTCTTGCAGTCAGATCACTTTTATCAAGTCTTCGATGAATAGTTCTTTCACTTACGTCAACCCCATGCACCATTTGAAGACGATGCCGAGTTTCTACAGCTGTCGTGCTACGATTCCTCAGAGTGTTTAGAACAATAAATCGGTCATCAACTGCTGTTGTCACTCGTCTTCTACCGAAACCTTGCCGCCTAGTGAAATTTCCTGTTTCCACATATTGATTCCAGGCATCTTGAACTGTTGTTGGGGGTATACCCAACGTATGGGCAACGTATTGCTGACTTTTGCCATTCTCAATTAAAGTAACAATACGCGCAACATCAGTTACTGACAACGGGATTGCTATTATGTTAAAAGACTGTAAAAATCTTTAACAACTGTCAATTTACTATTCGAAACAAATGACATACGCTACCTAGCGCGCCACCTTAGATTATTTTATGCTTGCTTGTCTTGTTTTTACAGGCGTTCGCTTTAAAACACTGCATCTTTGTTAGTAATAGAGATAATAGAGTGAATAAAAAAATAAGATGTTCAGAAAAGATTGGGCTTCCGTTTGATTCCAGTTAACACCATCTGCTGTAGCAGTTGCAACCCACAGGGTATTAGAAATTTCGAGAAAAAAAAGTTTTTCTCATTCTTACAGCCCGTATATGCTCAAATTAATATCCGAATAAAAATTTCTATCGCAGGATTATTACAAAAGAATCAACCTTTCGATCAAAAAAAGAATCACCAAAATCGAATGCGCGGTTCGCGAGAAAGCCAGCTTTGAAGTTTTGGCTAATTGAAAGTGGCCGGTTTTTTTTGCCGGTCAGTTTATTTCTTTCTTGCCTATACGCACTTAAAAGTCTTTTCATTTTAACTTTTAATTCTTTCTTAAGTAGATTAAAATTTTTAAACGTTTAATTTTATCGTAGTAATCTTTTTCTTGTGGATCCCACATTTTCAACGATTCATATGCCTCATATAAACGAATCAATGTTTCGTTATCCATTTTTTTGTATACAGCAATACGCCCACGAACGTTTACTGCAAATGTTCATTAGCAACAGCTGGAACACGATACGCCGCGCTCGAATGCCGCGCAATGTCTGGACACACTTTTACACATCATTTTGACTGTAGTATTTGTGATTGTAGTATCTGTGCCACGATTTACAGAAACACCCTGTATACGTTTGCGACGGCTACCCTGATCATAAAATTTTCATTTTTGGACACTTTAACCTTCCCCATACTTTATGGTATCCGTATCAATTGCAGTCTTTATCTGCAACTCTCCTTCAGGCGCAATATACATGATTTAATTTTTCTTCATAAAATAAGAAATGACGTTGTTGACTGCTCCACGATACTATCTGAAGTAAAATTTAAAGTTTCTGTTTGACTTATGTTCACTTTAAATCGCTATTGTTCTTGTTTGAACATGTTCACTGCCACCTTGGTTTTTCTAAATAAGCTACCTTGGCAGTACATTTTTTTTAAATTAAGTTTCTCTTTTTTGTTAATTATTATCATTTTCATACTAATATATCATTTCATATTCATTTTTGTTATTGCTTGATGATTTTTTTGTTAATTATTTATTTTTGTTAAGAATTTCTTTTTTATTGTGTTTTATTAGTGGATGCTTCGCTGGGCTTGTCCCGTTTGCATCCAACATAATAAAAAAAAATAATGAGTGTAGTCGGCTGCAAGCGATCTTGGTTTTTATGATATATCGAAATATTACAGTTTTATCTTTGACCATCGTGATTTTAATAGCCGAGCGTATCCAATACTTAGTATCTTCAAGATATAATAAGTCTCGGCCGCAAGCGAACTCGGCTTTGCCTTTTCATAATATGTACTTCATTTTCTGCACATAGACGACTCTAGTCGTGGCTTCTCAGCATCTTCCTTCCAATCTTCTATCTCTTTTATCAATACATATTTCCTCTGACTTTCAAATTACTTACTCCTTACCTTTTTTAGTACTCATCTGCTTTTCTTTTTCTCCCTTCTATCTTCTTCCACTGTGCAGTCTTCTGCTTCATGTTAGACTAACTTTATATATTTTGCACAATAATTATTACTTTCTTTAAATACATTGGCTGAGCATGGCAGAACTTCCTCACTATGTAAACTCTTCATGACACAAGTTCTGTTATATCAATGATGTTTTCTTCTGTTCTAGGTTCAGTTCTACACAATCCAGTTCAAAATTTCAAGAATTACCCATTCCAGTTCAATAGATTCTAGAAGTCTGCAGCAACATTGATAAACAAGGTAAGTGTTAATACAATAATCGTTACTTATCTCCTTCATACACATATAGATCAATATGTGCATCTAGAGCTATTGCTACCATCTTCATATAGATTAGTAACAAGACTATAAAAAACGAGATGTTTTAAAGTACATCATTTACGCAAAAAAGCTATTTTTTGTGGTACATTTGAGTACAAAATAGACACAAAACCAATAAATTCATTAAAACTTTATAATGATGAAATTGATGAATTAAGGTGTTTGTTAAGTGAAGAAAAAGTATTAGAGGACCATTTCAAAATAATTAATGATTTCGTTTCATTAATTGGCGCTCCTGAACACGGGTAATTTACCGAAATCGGTTGAGCTTTAATTATTAATAATTAAAATACTAATACACTTAAAAAAAATTAAAGCAAAGCGGATGAGATAAAACTAAAAAAACATAATAACAAGATGAGATAACGTAAAAATTGATACAATGACTAATCAAAAAACCAAATAAAAAAAAATTAATAAATAAAAATAAAATAAGCGATGACTTACTGCGTAATAAAAACACACACACAGAGATACGAGATTTAGAGATATTTAGAGGTTGGTGGCAGTAGTGGTTGTTGTGACCCCCTAAACGACCAACGATTTCAGATTTCATCGCCAGACGCCCCCGGAGACGACTTCGACTCTGAAGCCGTCGTATTTTTATTTTATTGATTTTGAAGTCACGCCGGACCGTTGTCGAGTATTTTCAAAAAGTTGCTCCAGAACGACAGTTTGTTTCGTACCTTTGATGGATCCGACGAAGACGACGGCGAGTCCCTAACACTTCCGCTCCTTCTCACCGACGACGAAGAAGACGATGTTATCGAACCGGAAGTTGCCGAAGAGGATGCTTTTCTTAACGTTCCTCTTGAATTCGTTGATAAACCGCCGTTTCCGGAATTAAAACTCGCCCCCATCGAATCTTTTAAATCTCCTCCTCCATGATTATTTTTGTAATTATTTCGCCAACTTTGTGCACTGTGCGATCTATTTAATGAATCCCCACTACGACTACGCGGTGCATTATTGTGATGGTGATGATGACTATTATGGTGGTGATGGTTACCACTTTTATTATGATAATTATTACTAAAATTCCCACCGCTTTTATAACTGTTATTGCTATGATTACTCTTATAACTCGATGGATTACCCGAATTGTTGTTTATCGGTGGTTTTGGTGCCGCGTATGATTTTAAGGGAATTTTACTCGGTTGTTTTGATTTATTACTATTATTGGTTGATTTCCGAGTTGCGGCCTCGTTGGTCGCTTGATCGTGAGCCGACTCCGTGCTTGAGGAGTGATCCAATTGGAGCGTTAACGGAAACGGACTCATCGCTTTCATACTGGCCGTTGTTATTTCCGATCTGGACATCCGTTCGAGGTGATTCGGGGGTGATTCCGATGCGGGTATAACATCCGGCGATGGCGCGGATGATTGTGGAGGTTTTTGGAGTTGTTCTAAAACTCGAACGCGCGCTTTTGTTCCTTCGAGTTCAATGTTTTTATCTTCAAGCTAAAACAACGAAAAAATAATTAGATATAATTTAAGGGGATTCATATTTTTAGCTTACCTGGAATTTTAAATCTTCGTTTTCTTCGCGCGTTCGATCTAATTCGCCAACTAAACCGATTTCTTTTTTGGTGGCCGTTTCTAGTTTGCATTGAAGAACCTAAAATAATAAAACAAACAAATTAAAACTTTTTTCTTTAAGATTAATCGTACAATATCATTAATATTATCCTAATTGTTTCAATAGTTTCAGTGTGATGTTGATTAAATGATATTGGTGGCTCCCCTTTAATATTGGCCTTGTAATAAATGATTATTTTTTGTAAATTTAATACAAATATTGGTATGTTGTGTGTTTTTAAAATGACATAGAATGTGGTGGACCACTGATCAAAATATAAAGTATTGCTGGTTAATATTACAAAAAATAAAGCTGTCTCGGAAAAGTTTATGTGGAGCGTTGCTATCGTTACGTCGCAGCGATGATGCTGGTATTCTGACAGACATGCGGGTATTAAACATTCAAATATTAGTTAAAAAAACTACTGAAATCACGCACTTCTTATGATTCATTTTCAATCATTGCGTATTTTACATTGCACAAGTTTGTAGATTCAACTTTTTCAATTTTGTACATCAGAATTTTATCTAGGATTAAAGCCACCAGAGGTTTGATTTCGTTAACCAATCAGATGAGCGCTGTTCATCTTTTATCAATACAGTGGAACCTTGCTTAACGAGTACCTCTCATAACGAGCATTTCGCATAACGAGTGACACACGCTTAGGCGAAGTCCCTTATTCTCGTCACTCGGTTGTGCTTTGTTTGTGTGTTTACCACTCACTACGTTAATGTGTTAGTGACGATTTTGTTTAGATATTCGGTTTAATAACTATTCATAATATCCCCGACAAATAAGCCATAAGAAACCAACTACAGTGTGTTAATTAATTATCGTACCCGACATCATTATTGCAAGTATGCAACCAATCTCACAGTAATGGTATTGCAATACGCGATTTGCGTATTTGGTTGCATACTTGCAATGATGACGTCGGGTACGATAATTAATTAACACAGTGTATGTACAAAAGAAGAAAAATAACCCTAGAAACGAAACAGGAAACCATTAAAAAGCGTGAACAAGGTGTGAGTGTGTCTGATCTAGCTCGCACGTACAATCGCTGCACATCAACGATTTCCACTCCTCAAGAACAAGGATAAGATTACAGAGGTGGATGCATCAAAGGGAGTGTTAAGAAATTTTATCCAACGGTTACGAATTCTCAATGATGCTGAAAGGCTGCTTCTCATTTGGATAAATGAAAATCAATTACAACGTGAAACATTTAACGAAAGCACCATTTGTGAAAAGGCAAAAGCTATTTTTGCCGACCTCGTTAAGAAGACACCAGAATCATCAACGGCTAAAAAAATAGTATTTAAAGCTAGTCGTGGATGGTTCGAAAAAAAGAACCGGCATCCACAGCGTTGTGAGGTGAAGCTGCAAGTTCTGACACAAAGGCTGCCGAAATTTTCATCGATGACTTCAAAAAGCTTGTAGATGCTAAAGGCTATCTCCCACAACAAGTATTTAATTGCGATGACACGGGTCTCTTCATTGCATTGTATTGCTTCGTAGAAGAAAATGCATTGCCGGGCCACAAGCCAATGAAAGACCGGCTCACGCTGCTATTTTGTGCTAATGCAAGTGGCGATTTAAAAATTAAACCACGCAGAAACTCCATAAGCCTTCAAAAAATATAAAATCCAAAAGAGGTGACACGCGATATTTTCACTGACTATGAAGTGTTTGGTTCTTCTTTGAAAAAATATTTGTTAGAGATGAATTTGCCACTCCAAGCCTTATTTGTAATGGACAACGCACCTGCTCATCCTCCAAGCCTACAAAACGAGCTCCTTGTAGAATTTAATTTCATCAAAATCCTTTTTCTGCCTCCCAATACCACTCCGTTACTTCAGCCTATGGACCAGCAGGTTATTTCCAATTTCAAAAAACTTTACACTAAAACACTCTTCGAACGTTGTTTTGAGGTCACTGAAGAGACAAACCTCACTCTCAGAGAGTTCTGGAAATATCACTTCCATATCGTTGCCTGCCTCAAAATAATTGGTAAGGCGTGGGAAGGGGTCACTAAAAGGAACCTCATTTCAGCCTGGAAAAAACTTTGGCCGGAGAGCGTTGTTGAATGTCATTCTGAGAAGGTTGACACACTAGATGTAGAGCCTCTAGTCAACGAGATTGTATCTTCAGCCAATACAATTGGACTGGAGGTAAATAGCAATGATATTGATGAACTTGTGGGAGAGCATAATCAAGAGTTCTTTTTGAACAGATTTTGAAGCGCCGACGAAAGCAAACATCACTGGTATGTGTCATAAATTTATAAATAATAAACTACATGATTGAATCACATTCCAGGTTTTTTCAGTACGGCACAGAAGAAGAGATAAAGATGATTTCGTTTGTTAACAATGTACGTATAAGTAGATAGATATTTCTAATAATAAATAAACGTTTATCAGGTTTTACATTAATTTATATGTATAGGAAACATTGTTTCGCTTAACGAGTATTTCGCATTACAAGTAAGATTCTGAAACGAATTATGCTTGTTATCAGAGGTTCCACTGTAAATATGCCGGTATTAAGACATGCTAACTGCTGGATTTGTGCCAGCTGTTGTTGTGATTTGTGTTTGGCCCCAAAACCAATGAGGCATAGGCGACTATTAGATCACCTTTAAATAAGAAGAAATGGAAACTGAAACCCGATTTAGGCTATACCGCTAAAAGAAGTTCTTCCTCCTCTTCAAATTTGGCCTTCTAATTTATCCAAATAGTTCCAAAGTGCATATTATTATTATTATTGCTGCCTAGCTGAGATCTATTGTAGCTATGAACCTTGGTATTGCTCCAAAGTCATGTTCCTTTATGTCGGTATGTGTCAACAGAGCTTTACCGAAAATTTTGTGTTTTAGACAGCCTCTGGTAACGAAATCACACAGTATGTTCTGTTGTATTCCTTCTCATTGCCCTCAATGTCTCTGTGACCTAGAAGCCAGAGTGATCCCTACGAAACCTTCGACAATCCTTGTAGCGCGCTTCTTCAGAAAACTGCCAAATAGGAAGAAAACCAGATTTAACAATGTTCGTTCCATGAATTAACAGCTTATGAACACTTGCCAGCATGTAATACCAATTATATAATTGAACATACACCTTAGCAATGTCTGTAGCATATTCTTCAAATATTTCTAAATTTATTTCGAATCATCCACTCGCAATTGCCTTTAATAAAACTGAAAACCGTTTAATTAGTTCCTCATTTACTCCTGTGATCGCACTTTATAACGTTGGATTAGAACAAATTTTCGAGCAGTGTTGCCCTCATTACTTGTTCCGTAACCTGGTTTGGCAATATCCACAAGTAGGCCCATTTCCTTGCGAAAGTGATCTTGAATTAATCTTTTTCGCTTGTCAGGTTTGTACTTCAAGTCTGTAGACAATGTGCAGCAGACATTCGAAGCATCTTAAGCGGCCCATACACGACGAATCTTGCGGCGTCGCATGTAGTGACGCCAAGAGTTGAGCCGCATGAAGCATCGTGTGTAGGGAGCGTCAGGACTCATGCGACGGCGACGGATTCAAGACCGTGGCAGGCTCCGGCACCTTGCAAGAGTCAACGTGTTTGGAATTGCGACAGAAACATAAAAACTACCGCCATAAATGACCTTGTAGAATTGTCTAGCAGTATTTAGTTTTCTGCCAGGAATATTTAATCTTCTACAAGCAGTATTAGTACTCTGGAACTAATTTGTAGTCTATTGGTAGCAGTACCTAGCCTTGTATAAACAATATCTATCCTTTTAAGCAGTTTCTAGTATTGTATAGGTAGTATTTGTCTTCCGCAAGGAATTTTTGGTCCTCTATAGGAAGTATTTAGTCTTCTGCAAGCAGTATTGGTATTCTGGAACCAATTCCTTGGCTATTGGTAGTAGTACCTAGCCTTCCATAGACAATATCTATCTTCTGCAAACAGTTTCTAGTATTGTATAGGTAGTATTTGTCTTCCGCAAGAAGTTTTTAGTCTTCTGCCGACAGTATTTAGTCTTCTACAAGTAGTATTGGTATTCTGCAACCAATTTGTAGTCTATTGGTGCAATACTTAGGTTTCTATAGACAATATCTATCTTTTTAAGCAGTTTCTAGTATTGTATAGGTAGTATTTGTCTTCCGCAAGGAATTTTCGGTCCTTTATAGGAGTATTTAGTCTTCTGCAAGTCCGTCGATAGCGGTTAAGGAAGTGCGGCACGACGCTACAAGAGTCATCGTATATGGGCCGATTTATTCACGCATGAAGACTTGTTAACCCAGAAACGAATGTCCCTTCATCAACTATTTCTTTAGATATTGCACCACAGATATAACACTTTTGAAATGACTCTTGTGCAATAACTACAGACCTTTCCGTCTATCATTGTCATCACCATTTTGTGATCCACAAACATGTCTTCATAGGTAATATGTGTCTGAGAGAACTTTTATTTCTGTTTCCACTTTACTAACTTCTTTCTGAAACAATAACTTTATTGGGCGAGAATAGCGTGTTGACGAAGGGCGTTGATTTTCTCATTTTATTGCTCCATTACGTTTTAATTGCAGCGGAACTAATGAAATTACGAACAAGAAGGCATCATTATGTTGTCCATTTCCCATGTCCGTCCTATGTATTTGCTTGTATGCAGTACTTTAGATAGCAAACTACTGTTTGATCAACACGTTGACTCAGTGGTGGCCAGAGCTAACAGGATGCTGGGATTTGTAATGCGCTCTTCTGAATCGTTTTGCTGCCCTATTTTATCGTTCGTCAGTACAGCTTGGAATCCTCAGTACGACGCATACATTAACAGAATAAAGAGGATTCAGATAAGGTTTCTGAAGTATCTTTCGTATAAATTCCGGCATCCTCATACAGATTACCAATCTGCCTGTCAAATGTTCAGCAGCGGAGGTTGGTCAGAGGTTACTGTGATTCTTTCTATCTTCTTTAACGCATTGATCTGCATGTCGTCGACTACGCTATGAGTTTTTGTTCTATGCGCCGACTGCCTGGACAAATTCGTATACAAATTCCCCAATACTTCGCATGGAGAGGATAGTGGACCGTCTTGGGTTGGACATATTCGTCGTCACGCCGCACAACTTCAAACAAATTATTCGTAATGCCGTGCTCGCCCTACCAGTTGTGTGATTTTAAAGTACATTATCTCGTTGCAGCGGCTGAGTTCTGCCTTGAATTGATTTGATCACATATGCTTAAGGCCATTAATTAATTAATTTGATCGATTTTCAATTTTGTGTTCATACATTTTATTGTATATAAAATGTATTATAGTGGAGTAGCTTTTATGTGGGACTGTGTTCTGTTGCTACCCCCGTGTGTGTAAATAAATAAATAAATCTCTTACTATAAATCACTTCCTAATTGGTTCAAATCGCTAGAAATAGCTTTCAATATCATCTGTTACCAATGTTAAAATCTTATCGTTTTTACAAACTTGATAAGCAGTGTAAACCTTTTGAAATTTGTATGTGTAATATAATAACACGTGTTTTGATTCATTGTGTCATTTCCAAAGAATTTATCAAAATTACATAAATCAATAAACACCGCCTTAATTGTATATATTAATTAATCCTGAGCAACTGAAGCTAAAGAAACAATATTATTCCAAACCTGTCTTACCTGATTTTCCACTGTACTTGTCAATAAACACTTTTGTAAAACCAACGGATCATGTTCCATTAAAATGGCTTCAAATTTCCGTCGATCAGGCACCAAAACTTTTGGTAAATCACTCAAATCCTCCTTTTTATCACTATCATTGTCATTAAAATCACCATTATTAAACCCAATCACATTCGTAGTAGTCCTTTGATGACTAGTAACGTCTCTGCGAGACATTCTGTTTTGTTTTTCCGGCGACGGTTTCCCCACAAATTCTAAATGCATATCGCGTATTCGCGAATTAATTTCGCCCCTTTGAGAACACACCGCTTTTAACTGTTTCTCTAAATCGTGTTTAGTAGCTAGCAAATTTTCGAAATCTTCTTGTAACCGAGATGCGGCGATCACTTCCGCTTCCATTTCGGCTACCCTATCCAATAACAAATCCCTTTCGCGTTTTAATTGACGAATATCGTCGGCGGAAGAAGCGTGAAATAATGTCCTTTGAAAGTTTGGTTCTTCCTGTTGTTGTTGTTGAGCCGGTAAATTGTTTTGTAACGCTCCTTGTAAAGCTTCAACTTCGTTTTTTAATCTCGTCCCTTTCCGATGAATCACATCCAATAAGTTCCATAATTCATCTTCACTTTCAACGTTCATCGCTGTGGTCGTCATAGCGGAAGAGCTATGCGTTTCTTTACTTGACGTTTCGGTACTAAAACCCGAATCTTGAATGGTGGATTCGGTTTTTTTCGAACGCTCCTCTTTACTGGTGTTTAATTTTCTGCGGACGCGAACTCCGGGTTCCCAATCTCTTCGTACGGCTACTGGGATGTTTGATGATGAGGATGAGTGAGTTGTTGTCATGGTGGTTGGTGTTGATGATCCCATTTTGCTGCGTAAATTTGGAAATGTTTCGATAACCAAATCGCGGAACTCCAATAAAGCCCCAACTTCATGTTGAAGCTCTTGTAAAGCAACTAAGGATTTTGCTTGTTCGCTGATTAAGTAATGAAACGGAGCTGATTGGCGTAATTGGAGACAATCCATTACTTGGGAAGATTCAACGCCCTAGAAATAAAATGAAAAATGTGTTAAAACGATTAAAATTAATTATTTAAGTTAAAAAAGTTAGGTTAAGTAATGTTTTGTTTACATTGTCGATTAAAGATAATGACATAAATTAGTTACTACCAACTTAATTTTTTTTTAAATCAATATTCCCCTAAATTTATTTTAATTTATTCTTTTTAATAATTAATTAAATAAAAACTAACGACTGCATAAAGAAGTCGTCCTTGATGGGAATGTAGCAATGCACTCGAAGCTTCACCTCACTTCACTTACTTAGCATATGAACACGTTCGAGCTATTTTTAGAATCTGAGACCATATACGACGGAAAAACGTGGGTTTGTTAACTTATTTCGAATTAAAAATAGATTAGAAAACCGAACATCGATTTAAACTTGATAATTTAATATTTGAGGTTATATCAAAACGTCAAAAAATAATGTTACGTCAAAACGTCAAAAAATGAGGTTATATCAAAACGTCAAAGAACAAGGTTATGTTAGTAATTTGATTGCAATTAATTTCTTTCGGTTCAAAAACGTGATTTAAAATCGTTTTTTATTAATTTCTAATTTTAATTAAAACTTCAATTTAGTTATTTGCAAAAAAGCGAGTCGTAACGAATCGGATAACCTTCAAAAGAATAATTTTTTTATTTCACTAAAAATAAACTTCAGGTTGAATGTACGTCATTTAACCTTCCCAATGTTTAACAATGAATCGACGATTTATTTTCGTTGAAAAAAAAATAGACCAAAATTTGTGCCGATTTCCAACAAATTTTCCATCGAGTGATTCATAAATTTTCTCTTTAAAATTAAATCTTATCATTAAATAAAAGTATTTATTTTTATCTTATCTAAATTATGATTACAAAGTTTTAATTACCATCATCAACATTGTATTGTTTTTTGGTTATTTGAAACCCCTTTCAAAATAACATTTTGTTCTCCGTTTCTCGTTATCGTTTTCTTTCTTATCGCGTTTAAAATCATCTCAGATTACATTTCAAAACTTTGCACTTGTTTAAAGAGTAAAAAATGTGATTCTTTAGAAAACGTTACACAACACCAACAACACAAACACAATGGACCGATAAATTTAAACCGTAATTTGCCCGCATGTTCCGTTTTTTTGTTGTTAGTGTCTCTCTCTTCTATTGAAAAAGAATTAAGTACGGTTTGAACGCGACGTTTACCGTTCGAGCATCGCGACGTGACTAAATCTGAGCGGTCAACAACAAAATCGAGGCAGCTTTGAAAACGGTGGGGATAAGAAATGTTGTTTGTTTAACGGTGGGGGAAGAAAATAAACAATAAGAAGATTGAAGGGAATTATTGGTGCCTATTCTATGGGAATTGTGAGTTTAACTTAGAAGGATTATTTATGATAAGATTATCTTTTTAGATATACTTTTAAAATAAATAAGATTATTGCGATTTATTTATTGTGTTTGATGATAAATATTATTTGAGTTGAATAAAACATAATCTTATTCTAAAAATATACGGAAACGTCAATGTCAAATTTTATTTAAAAAGATATCTAGGCATTTATATCCAGGCAAAACTATTTAGCAAAAAATCCAGAAATATTTAAAGATGCTTTGAGTTATTCTAAGGATTTTCCAAGACTGCAAAGGTGTCTCAAGATTTTAAAGAGACTCTAAAATTTCCTCTGGGATTTCCAAGCATTTCTAACGATTCTAAGATTTTTAACAATTTTTAGAGATATTAAAAAATTTATAAAGATGTCTTAAGATTTGCAGAAGATTTCCAAAGATGTTTTGAGAGTTGTAGAGGATTTGTAAAGATGTTCAGAAGATTCCAAAATGGTTTTAAGAATATGCAGCGGTAATTCAGGAGTTGTTAAGGATACGTAAAGATTTTTAAGAATTCTACAACTTTGGAACTATTTAGCAAAGTCATCCAGAGTGGTTATAGTAGGTGCAGTTTATTGTCCAAAAAATTTAAATTGTCATGAATTTCTTAATGCTTTGGATGCTGTTTTTTCCGATTTTTTGCCGATGTGTGACGATATTTTTCTCTTGGGGGATATATGATCATCGATTTATTTTCTTGCTCTCTTGCCCTGCCACTGAAAAGCTTTTGAGTTTTCTTGAAGCGTCAGAAGACAACATACGAAAGTTAAAGGATTATTATCTGAACCAGAATTTGTCTCTAAAGGAGTTCCTCAGGGCAGTATATGTTCTTTGTTATTCATCATTTATACTAGTATGTTCTACAGGTACTTGAAGCATTGTAAATACCATGCTTATGCCGATGATACTCAGTTATTAATATCATTTCCTCACATCGAGGCTAATGTTGGTGCTGTCAAAATAAATTCTGATGTGCAATCACTTGTTGACACTTCTGAGGCGCATGGCTTAAAAGTAAACTCCAGCAAATCTAATGTGATGGTATTTGGTAACAGGAATCATAGGAAATTTGTTAATGACAATCTTAAAATTTGTGTAAATAATCAAGAACTACAACACGTACGCATTGTGAAAAATTTGGGTTTGTTAATAGATGATGATTTAAAATTTAATTCACATATATATAAGCTACTACAGAAATCATATCGACATGTATTAAATGAGAACAGTAAAAGATTACTGACTGATTCTTTGATTTTATCCAATTTTAATCACTGTGACTCGGTCTATGGTGTTTGCATGACTGGGGACAATCTGCACCGTCCAAAATGGTTGCCTAAGATTAATTTATGGAATTCGAAAATACTGCAGAATTTCACATAAGTTAAAAGAATGTGGGTGGCTAAATATGTATAACAGAATCATTTTTCACAGGGGAGTAGTTTATTTTAAAATTTTAAATAAAAAAACACCTGTTTATCTGAGCAAGAAGGTATCGTATCGTACTGACATCCACACTGAGAGAAATGGATTGTACTATGCACTAAAAATATACTATAAGGTAATATAATATTTAATAAGTTAGTGACAGTGAGATGAGATTGTACTGAAGCATATAAATATAATGAATATAATACAATGAATTGCTGCATGTAAAAGGTGTCCAAATAAGAGCGCCGGATTTAAATTTGCCGCCATTTTATTAATACGAGTTGTACGGCGTTTTTTGTTTGACAGTTGTCACGTATAGACCGCGCGATTTATGAATATGGTNGTTGGTGACATTGGGTCATTAATTTTTCTAGTTGTCAATGTGACAATTTTTGTCTATGGATGTTTAAACACGTTCTTAGCATCGAATACAAGGTCCACAATGATGAGGACAGTGACTCTGAGCAATTTCTCTTATTTTGGGAGGTGTACATCAAACATTTTTTTCACGTGGATATATTTTGTATTTTGACAGTTTCTAATTGTCAATTCAAAGTTTCTATTTTCAAGTGTTCCGGTGTTACCAACTGCTACATATCTATTTCCCTACATTGCCAAAACTTACTTTATTTTTGTTAAAAAAAAGTATAAAAACGCGAATTACAAAAAATAGCATAAAAAACACGTTTCATAAGACTTAAAGCACTCATTCATTAAATTCATTCAATTTGAATTCGTGCATTTCAAGCGTGTCTTACGAAACTTGTTTTTTAATATACTATTTCAAAAGACATATTTGTTAGTTAATTAGGCTGTTATCCTCTTACTCTTGATAGTTTAACTCTTCTTTTCCTTGTTACCCAGTTATTTAGAAATATCCAATAAGCCTACCATGCAACAATATGCGCCATGCGTTTCTTACTTTTGTTTTTGAGGTTATGTATTTGTAATGAAGTTAGTTGCTTTTATACATTTTAAATTTAAATTAATTTGTCAACAAAACCATTTAATTAATATTATCGTCGTTGTTCAAAAAATTATCTAATTAGTACCATGTTCTGTCACATTGTTGTGTCTTAAATGTTTGTTGGTGTTATAAGGTTTGTCAAAGGTATAATATGTGGAAAATGGAAAATGGATCATTTAGGAAAGGTGTAGATTTTAGATTTTCCAATAACACTACAATCCACACCTATCCTATACTATTCTTTATTCCTTCTTCCTGTTCCATAGGAATCCAAGGATTTTTCAAGACTGCAAAGGTGTCTCAAGATTTTAAAGAGACTCTAAAATTTTCCCTAGGATTTCCAAGCATTTCTAACGATTCTAAGATTTTTTAACAATTCCTAGAGATATTAAAAAATTTCGAAAGATGTCTTGAGATTCGCAAAAGATTTCCAAAGACGTTTTGAGACCTGTAGAGGGTTTGTGAAGATGTCAAAAAATGTTCAGAATATTCCATAATGGTTTTAAGAATATCCAGCGCTAATTGAAGAGTTTACATATCCTTAAAGGATATGTAAAGATTTTTTCAAGACTTCTAAAACTTTGGAATTATTTAGCAAACCCACCCAGAAATGTTGAAAGATGCTTTGAGACATACTAAGGATTTTCCAAAATTGCGATGAGTTTCAAAAATTTTCAAAGATTCTATACATTTCTAATTATTTAGTAAACTAATTTAAAAATATTTAAGGATGCTTTGAGTTATTCCAAGGATTTTCCAAGACTGCAAAGGTGTCTCAAGATTTTAAAAAGACTCTAAAAGTTTCCCTGGGATTTCCAATCGTTTTTAACGATTCTAAGATTTTTTAACAATTTTTAGAGATATTTAAGCATTTATAAAGATGTCTTGAGATTTGCGGAGGATTTCTAAAGATGTTTTGAGACTTGTAGAGGATTTTTAAAGATGTCAAATAATGTTGAGAAGATTTCAAAATGGTTTTAAGTATATCTAGCGCTAATTGGGGAATTCCTAATGATATGTAAAGATTTCCAAGGATTCTAAAACTTTGGAACTATTTAACAAACTCACCTAGAAATATTTAAAGATGTTCTGAGATATTCTAAGGATTTTCAAAAATTGCGAAGGGTTTCCAAAGATGTTTTAAGTTTTTAAAGGTAATTATCAAACTAATTCAGAAATACTTAAAGACGCTTTGAGTTACTCCAAGGATTTTCCAAGA